AGTACTCTTCTCCAACTCCACAGCTCAAAGGCATCAATTCTCCTTCTATCCGCCCTAATTATTGTCCAACTCTCTGACACATAATAAGTGATTGCAAAGACCATGGCCTGTATCAGACGCACCTTAGTGTCCAGAGAGACACCATTGCTCTTCAGTACTTTGGAGAGGTCCCTAACAGCAGACTTTCCCATGGCAGTACATAAGATCAATCACCATTAAACCCTGTATTTCTAGATTCCCACTGGATCTTTCCAATTTATCATTGCCCCCTCTCTCCACCCACCAAGTTGTGCATACCCATGATTTCCTACTTTCCCACTTTCTCTCCTCTCTTCTCGCCTTTTCCCTGCTCAGAACCCCATATACTTTTTAGTAGTTATCCTTCTGATTTTATGATGATGATCCTATGCAATATTTATCCTTATGAGAATGAGTTAATTCACTCAGCATAATGCCCTCCAGTCACACGCAAGTTATGGAGCAGTTTTTGAAATCTTTGCATAATATTCCATCACGCAACTGTGCAATTACACATCAATTAGATTGTTGTTTGGCATTTGGGCTGTTTTTATGCTCTTGTAATTGTGAATAATGCTGCTATGAACATTGGTGTAAAATCTCCATTTGTGTCTCAATTCTAATTTCCTTGTGGTGTATTTCTAGGAATGGAATAGCTGGATCATGTGACATTTCTATATTCAGCTTTTTGAGGAAATGCCAAACTGCCTTCCAGAGTGGTTATACCATTTTACAATCCCACCAACAATATGAGAGTTCCTATCTTTCCACATCCTCCCCAACATTTATTGTCTTCTATCCTATTATATTTTGCTACTAGGGGGGAGATGGTGTCTCATTGTCATTTTGATTTGCATCTCTCTTAATGCTAGTAATTTAGAGCATTTCTTTATATGTGTGATGGCCCTCTGAATGTCTTCTGTGAAAGTCTTTCCATGTCTTTTGCCTATTTTCTAATTAGTCTTTTTCTTGGGGAGGCTCTGAAGGATTTTGTAAACTTTTGTTATGGGACCCTTATCTGAGATGGTATTCCTAAATACTTCTTTTCACTCGACTGGAAAAATCTTTTTAATGCACTCAGGTATTTAACCTTTAAATGATCCCATTCATAAGATTTATCCTTTCCTGGCTGTGTATTTCTGGCTGTGTTTGACAGGCTCCTTATACCATAGGCAGAGCCTTCAAAGCTTGGTCCCATCTTATCTTTTATAATGTTTATAGTTTGGGGCTTTGCAGTTAGATCTCTGACCCATCCTGAGTTGATTTTTGTGTCTGGTGAGCAAGGTAGATCTAGCTTCAGCTTTTTCCAGATAGCAATCCAGTTTTGCTAGTACCATTTGTTGAGGAGGTTGTCATTTCCCTATTTGATAGATTTTGTTTCTTTGTTGAATATCACTTTACCATAGATAGATGGGTTAATTTCTAGGTTCTCAATTCTGTTCCATTGGTACAATACTGTTCTGGTTATTACAGCAGTATAGTAGGTTTTGAGATCAGGAAGTACTGTGCCTCCCACTACATTCTTGTTTTTCAGAATTGCTTTGTTGACTTGGGATCCCTTTCTTCTCCAAATAAACTTAACAGTTGCCTTTTCATTCTTCTTGAAAAATGAATTTGGTATCTGCATTGTGATTGCATTAAACATGTACATTGTTTTTGGTAGGATTGTCATTTTCACAATAATTGAATTTTCCTATCCATGACCAAGAAACAGCTTTCCATTTATTTAGGTATTTTATTGTTTCTCTTTTTTACCATCATTCACTTGTTTAATTATTATTTTAATTGGTTTGTTCACATAGTTCATATACAAAAGGA